ACCAGAACATGTGTGATTGGTTACATAATCAATGCTGTCACATTTGGTTATGCAACCTGCAGTGTAGCTTTTATTCCCTTGGCCACCTTCTACATATGCTATCGTATCACAGCCAACAGCAACAAACTTATTTTCAGTGTCAGAGATAGTATAACTACTGTTAAACTTCAAATGGAGCCAGGTATTGCTATCGTCGACGTTAATTGGATCACCGAACTTATCATAGCAATCGTGGGCTATAAATTTCATTATCTGCACCCTCCCTCCAAGAGTTATGTTGGTTACATTGATATTACTTTTCCTTAAAAATGCTAATGGGGGACTAAAAGTGTCATTGCAACTTATGAGAAAATCTTCATTGTAGTAACATCCTTCTGTTGTACCGAATGGATAAGGGATGCTTACATTACCACAACTATCTTGACAACCAGGTTTTGCAATAGGAGCTGGTTCAGCTACAATTGCTGCTAATGATGCTGCAATAAGGATGACCAGCCAAAACCTTTCGTGAATTCCCATGGCAAGTACTGCTTCCTTCTTTCTTTAGATTGAAATAGAAATTCAAATTTAAAGATCCTGCCAATGAAAGTCCTTATATAGTTGTAGAATTTGGAAGACCAATTAATTGAACATTAATATAAAGTTATTATATTAATATCTTGACGACATGATTCTGCACAATTTATAAAGTTCAATATTAATTACAATTTAAAATCACACTAGAGAATTAGAACATTTCAAAAGTAATGCAGTGTAATAGTGTACATGTTAAAGTTAATTAAGGAAAGGATTATTCAATTAACAAAAGGATTAGTCAACTTCATGCGCAAATTAGTTGAAGTCACGCTGATAAACAGGTGGACGATAGGGGTGGGCGGAAAAGTTAGCAATTGAAAAAAAATACGAAACTGATCAAAATCACCACGGGTAGGATTTAATTGCGTTTTAGGTGTTTTTAATTAAAAATTAAATCAAATGAATTTTAAATGATTTGGATTTTAGTTGCTAAAAATAAAAAAGATTTAAAAATTGAACCGAAACATTTTATCTCCTAATTTTATGCACTTCTATCCCACGTATTGCATTAATAATGATTTCTTGATACATCCAAAAGTTGACTACTTCAGTCAATTCTGTAACATGTGCAGCATAGATTTAAAATGTTATTGTCATTTTTAGTTTTTAAACTTTTAATTTAAAATATTTTTTAAAATTATTTTTTTTATTTTTTTCATTTTTAAACTATGAAAAATGTTTTTTCTTTAAAATTTTTTTTTCTAATTAATCTGTAACTTTGTCTATATATTTATATATATTTTTAATTCCTAAACTTATAATATATATATATATATATTTAGTTTATAAATTTATAAATTTAAAACTAAAACCCTATTTGGTTGAGGCATTCCTTAAAAAAAGAATCGAGGGATGCTAACTAAAAATACGCTGGCTTAGCACAAGAAAGGTGAATCATGCAAGTTACCCCCTAGACATGTCAAGAGGTGGCAAAAAAGCCCCTCAACTGAAATCAGTAGCGTATGACCTCTTGAACTCATGTACGGCGGCAAATCAACCCTTATTTAACTACCATGTCAATATTCCGTTAAAACTAACTGTTTTTTCTGTTAGAATGGATTCCACCGCAATACTATGCAGCCCATTGAAGTATGACGTGGCCTCTCATGTCATAAAATTATTAATATTTTTGAATTTTTTAAAATATTTTATTAAGATTTAATTACTATAATTTTTTGTACATTAAAATTTAATTACTTGCAATAGAAATCAATCGGATTAATTAAATCTCAATTGTCACATTGTCAAGTAAATAAGAATAAGAAACTCTATATACTATAGGATGGTTTTATAACTAAATAATATCTTTTTTTACCTATAAAAATTATCTCAATTTAGAAATTTTGAAGAATTAATTGTAAATTTAAAATTTAACAAAAAGGAAAAATGAAGTTCCAAGGAAGAGAAATCGAGAACTACAAAATTACATGAGCTTATTTTTCATGTAAATTAATTATTAAAAAGAGTATTAATTACACATAAATTAGAAAAACCATTATTGAATTTATTTGTCTTTTTTTTTGCCACCTATTCTTTAAAATAATTCTTTAGTTTGTCTTTTAAGGATATAAGTTAAAAATATATTTACTTTTTATTATTAATTTATATAAAAAAAGAAAAAATTAATTTTTATTTTATTAACTATCTAATTTTATTATTTTATGTAATATTGATATCGAAAATAAAATTTATTTTTTTAATTTTTTATATAAATTAATAATATTTTAACTTATATTTTAAAGAGACAAATTAAAAATTAAATTAAAAAACCTTCATTTAATTTATTTTATTAATTTCACTTTTTAAAAAATGTTAAAATGTTAAAAAAAAAGGACAGTGGACCCTACAAAAACATGAACCCGGTTAAGTTTGGACAGAATGATGACATTAGCAGTTAGAGAAGGGCTGATTTGCCACCGATGATGAGTTTCAGGGGTCATTTGCTACTGTTTTCAGCTTAGCGGCTTTTTTGCCACCACTCAACAACTTTAGGGGGTAATTTGCATGATTTACCCACAAGAAATAACATTTTTTGGCACAAAAATTAAAATTCAATATAATTGATTATAATATAAATATAATCAATTATGTGACAATTTCTAAGAAATTTTTTTTCTAAGATATATTTGTCTGAAAAGTGAAGTAATTGATTACAAAAAGCCAATAATCAGTTATATCACTTATAATCACTCCTTAACTTTGTGCAACCAATTATATACCCAATATAATCAATTACATTTCTAACATAATCAACCATATTTAACATCGTTTTTCATGCTAGGAAATTTTATTTGCTAAGCCAAGCCTAGTCCTTTTGTTGTTAGCTTTCCTAGATTCTTTTTCTAGGAAAGACCTCTACTAAAGAGTTAAAATTGTATATATATGGATAGAGTTAACAGATTCATTAATAAAATATTTAAAAAAGTATAAAAAATAATTTAAGAATTAAAAATGTTCAAAATTAAAAGTTAAGAAATTTAAAAATATATGAGAAAATATATGAATAAGAATACAAGATTTTTCATTTTATTTAAGGACATAAACTTTTCAAAATTTTAAATTAGACTGTAAATTTTCATTTTTTCTAATTAAGGATATAAATTTTATATTTTTTTGATTTAAAGATTTATTGAATGGCGATAATAACATAATAAATAACAATCTTAACAAGAATAAAATAAAGTTTCCATCATTAAATAGAAAAATAATAAAATTTGTATTCTTAAATAAAAAATAAAAGCTTATTACCTAATTTACTAATTCAAAATATTTATATCTTTAAATAAAAAAATAATAAAATATGTATTTTTATCTAAACTTTTTCTCACATTTAACCTTTTAAAAAGGAAACACACCCCCTCCATAACTAAATTCAACAAACGATGGAGAGTGAAACCCAATTGGCAAGCAAAAAGAAATAAAAAGGCAAAAGAAAGCAAGAGGAATTAAGAGAAAGGAAAAGAATTGCACCTGCTAAAGTAGAACAATGGATCGGACTAATCAACTTCAGAATTCATCGCCCAAAATCAAATACCAAAGAAATAAGAAAGTAAGAAATAGAGAATAGAAGGAGAATCAGAAGGGAGAAAGAAGAAGAAAGAGATGAGGAAGGAGAAACAGAGAGAAAAAATCCTGTATATTCATCGACTGAAAATACCAAGATGTAGGGTAGCTTTTATACAAGAATTATGTACAACACTATAAGCCCAAAGTACAATATTTTTATTGCGTTATAACGATGGTTAGAAACTTCACCCACAGTAATACATTTCAATTTTGTTGAGGAAGATAACTGGATAAAACAGTGGGCAAAGACTTTTGAGGAAGTCATACTTTGAAAAGTCAGGTACAGGAATGGTTGGAAACTTCACACGTTGAAGGAAAGCGCGGGAGACT